AGGCTCTTCCACTTGAATTGACAGTTCTTCACGATTCTGTTGAAGCAACCGCCTGGTATCCTCCATCTGACGATCCAACATTGTTTGAATAATCATTTGTACACCAGCCATCATTATTGGCTCGGGTGCAACACCTACAACAGGTATTTGTTCAATCACTGGTGGTTGATTCCTGTTTTCATTTGCATTTCCAACTCCACTTTTTGTTCTTACCATTTTTGATCTACACACCGAATATGGTGAATTTAGATCCTCAATCACGATAGATAATTAAGTCATCCTTATCACTCCGAAACATTTACATGCTAGTTCTAATATCGTAATCATACGCTTAGAATCCTACACACATAAGGTTTCCAGATTTGGTCGGCAACAGAACATAGATCCAAACAAATCATATCATATATGGAAAACATATATCATTTAGCACATAAAAGCATTTTAGGCATCATTCCTAAAATATACTAGTGCTCGTGTCAATTTAGGTGTACTACCTAACATATTTTAGACATACTCCTCATGATCATTACTTAGCATTCTAAGTTTAAGTCTAGAAATTTCCTACAAAATTCCTAGTTCGCTTAAACTAATTCTCTGATACCAACTGTGACATCCCCAATTTCACGGTCAGAAAAGACCGATTTGTTTATGCTTTGTTTTTAAAAATAAGAGTAATCTTTTAAAGAAAACAGTTGCGGAATTTGTTCCCAAAACAAAATATGATAAGAATTTATCAAAGCATTCCTTTAAAGAAATGTATTTTCATTATATAACAAAATCTCAGATTGTTATGTTCCGATACAGACACATAAGCATAAACAAAACTTACATTTATTTACACTAATGATTTACATCTATTTTAATCTCTCAGTGAAATATGTCTTCGTATTGATACCTGTGATACAAGAAAACTGAGTGGGTCAGGCTTGGGAGCCTGGTGAGCATATAGGGTTTTCGATCCACAATAATATAATTATTATATTCAACCATCAAACAATCAACCTAATTACCCATCCCCATTATCTTCTTTATTTCTTAGGATTTTACCCTAAGAACTCAACTACCCGTCATCCATTCATTCCTATGGATTGACCTAAGGAAATGGCACAAAATCTATTGCTACATAAGGCGCATCTACTAACATCATCCTTTAAGCACCTCTGCCAGGATTACGTCATACACTATGAGGCGCGACTGCCAGGTTTATGACATTCTTTTTTAGGCGCATCTGCCGACATTTTCTTATAAGCGCACCTTCCAGGATTATCCCATAAGCACATCTGCTAGTATTGTGACATTCTCCATTTGGTGCATCTACCAATATTATTCTTAAGCGCATTTGCTAGTATTATGACATTCTCTAATTGGTGTATCTACTAATATTATTCTTTAATCATCTTACATATCTCATCATTTTATCACATACCAACTATCTCATCTACCCATGTTCTACCCAACATATTAGTAGATATAAAGTACATATACAGTTTAACTCATTTAAAAACCATCAAATAAACAACAGTACATAAACACATAGCATGTATTTCAAGCAAATACTTCATATTTATGTGTTAGAAGAAAGTAACTATATACTCACCCAAAACATATACTTAATACATTGAAACAATACTTGTATTAATATCGTGTTTATGAAAGGGACTATACACTCACACATATAAACAACAATATATATAAACGCATAACACGTATTTCATAGCCAATACTTAATATTTATGTGTTAGAAGAAAGTAACCACACACTCACTTGATCAGAAGATGATCGGGCAGCACTACGGCTTGTAGAAGTAGTATTCTTCGGTAGATCTGGAAGATCTTCACACAAACCGGGCTCCTCGCGGGCAGAGCTTCGGCTCAGACACTCTTTTCTTCTCGGGATCTTCGGGCTTCAGGACTCGGGATGATACCGGGGCTTCGGGATATTTCTTGCACGTAAATCAAGGTAAAACGGGAGAGAGATGAGAGAAAATAGCAACCCTAAACGGCTGACCCTTCAAATCTATTTATAGGGCAAAATTTGCCCTTGCCACGTCGAGGCACCTTTTTCCACGTTGTGGGCTTGGTCGTCACTACATGCGTCATTGCAAGTTGCATCTGGAGGACTCCAGGAGGTGTCAGAAGACTTGCCACGTCGTGGTATCTGACAGTTTTGGGGTTTCGCGCCCCGAACTTCAGAAATTCATAACTTTCGCAAACCAACTCCGTTTTCGACATTCTTTATATTGACGCATAGGTGAGATTATGATATACAACTCTCGTTTAGACTCCGTTGGCTAATTTTGATTTTATTTTTAATATATTATAAATATATTACTTATATATTATTTTTAGTAGGCCGAGATAGGAAAACTTCGTTATAAATTTATAACTTCTTCATTCGACGTCCGTTTTCGCCTATCTTTTTATCAATTCACTACTATCAATGAGATCTTCAATTCTAGTTCAGATTGTTTCGGCTAAAAACCGCTCGGTCTCAAATCGAGTATTCAGACTGCGTACTGCTAAGTCGAAACTTAGAAAAATCATAACTTCCTCATACGAAGTCAGATTTGGACGTTCTTTTTATGCATGATCACGGTTTAACGTATTCTACGACTTTTGTTTAGATCTCTAAGGCCAAATCTTGCTCTATCGTAAATTCACTATTTACGTCGTGCTGTGTCGTGTCGGTTCTGTCGCGAAACTTCGACATGTCATAACTTGTTCGTTATAACTCGGATTTCGGCGTTCTTTATATGCACGGAATCCTTGTAACATATACTACAACTTAGTTAAGATTACTCCATCTAAATAATCTTCCATCAAATTAACTAGCTCGGATCTACGGGCGTTACAACTATTTAGTTAGTGGCAGACAAAAGTTCAAGGAGGAGGATAAATTAAGAAGGCAACAAAGGAATTTCACAAAGACGTAACACCCCAAAGTTGTTCAATTGAAGACTTTATTTATTTTATCTTGTTTCCGCTATAGTTTAGTCTATAAGTAAATTTAGAATTGATCTTGGAAGATGTTGGAATGATTATTTGTTATATAATCTATATATGAAAATTGGGGTGTTACAAATCTTCTATATGTCAAGCCAAGCTTCTACTAACATCTTCTCTTCTATGGCGATCCAACCTTGAGCTGGGACCATTCCTTTTTCTTTTTGTCATGAGATGGGCTCCTTTTTCGGTTCTACTAGTGGAATGGAACCGTCGTCGGAAGAATCGGTATCTTAATCGAGTAGGCATCGTGGTTGGCTTTGGAAATTTGGTTGTGAAGCAAATTGGGTTTTGACAAACGTTTTAAATGGGTTAAATTCGATTTGGGTGGTATTTTGGTGTTGAAAACTATTTAGGGTTTGGAAAATGTTTTGTTGTGGAATTGGTATGTATTGAGAATATTGAAACATATTTGGAGCCATGCCAACAAAATGGTAATTTGCTGGAGAGTAAAGTGATTGATCATACAAAGGTTTATAAGGTATTGGTGATGCACGGTTTACTGAAAAGATTTGGTAATGTAGGGTTTAGTGAATGCGAGTTGTCGGATTTTGAAGAATTTTTCTTCCTTATTGGGGTGGTTGTTTGTTTTGAGAAAGACATGATGAAATTTGAAAATAGAGATATTAGGGAAAGAATTGAGAGTTTGTTTAAAATCGAGAAAGATTGAAAATGTATTTATAGTGGTTTAAAAAAAATTGATTTGTTTTTTTAAACAAATATTAGTTTTATTTTTTTATTTTATATATATATATATATATATATATATATATATATATATATATATATATATATATATATATATATATAATAAGAGAATCTTTTTTTTTTTTTTTTAAATTGGTTAAATAGTCTTCAATTGATATTAAATTCGGTCATAAAACTGCAAACATCCATCTGTCTCTTTACGCTCCTCCACCTGCGAGAGTACGAAGGCGAGCCCCATTGGCGCGTGTCGAGGGCGGTGTAGGCAACGAAGGCGTGTCCAATGTGAGCAGCTAGCACTCCCCACTCCGTTTGGTTTAATGGGAAATTACATCTAAAAATAGGTGGCTATGTGAGTCTATTAGATTTGTAAAAACACATCGGTGACCTCCCATAATTGCAATCAATCATGGGTCTTAACTCTTAAGCTTCTTCGTGATAGCAACCAACAGGGGCATAGCCAATATAGGGCAAGAGTGAGCTTTGGCCTACCGATAAAAAATTAAAGTTACATATATACAGTATGTATAATATATATTGTTGTTAAATAAAAGGAATTAGAGTTGTGATATGGTCTATTCCATTTAAAACTTGAAATAATGAAATTAGTAGAAAAAAATACATTGTTGTGTATGTTCATTTTAGATTATTTTAGTGATGGAAGACAACATCGTATGTAACTTAAATAAACAATTTAGTTAAGAAAGCATATATAGTTACATTTTATTATCATTTGAAAAGTTTTACCAATCATTATTATTTATTATTTAACCTACCCTAAAATAAAATTATAGTTACTGGCAACAAAAAATAAAGATGTGGTATATTCTTTTTTAACCACACCAAAGTGATGTGAGATGACAATTTTACCATAAATTGAACACGAAGTGAAAAATTACACTTCGGTCTCTCTAATTTTTGCACACTGTAAAACTAATTAAAAATTTAGTTATTAAATATTTTTCTTCCTACAATAATTATAACCAACGATAAAATTTCCAACCATTCTATAGCTATTTTTGATTGCTCTATGTTACATCATACTTATCTAGATGCATGCCCATGTATTTTTGGTATAATGGAGTAATGGACACTTTAATCTCATAGTCATCGCGTTTTTTTGAAATGGTCTCCATGAAAAAATCCTAAACATATTTTTTCCGTTTTAACATGCTAGAGTCTCCACGGCAGGACACATGTCACTCTTTATATGGCCCCACTCCATAAATAATTACACTATAAGTCAAATCGTATACTTAATCAAATTGATAATTATTTCCAATTTTCAATTAAGGCTATAGATCTTGATTCAAATAAAATGAATTTTATAACAATTACTTTTTAGTTTTTAGTAATTAAATATTAAATAATAAATAATAAATACTTGTTCTTGCAACAAAACAGCCGTCTAATTTTATGATGTCGTGTCGATTTTAGCAGCATTTAACCATAACACTAATCTGTTATCTTCCCAACAAAACAGTAACATGAAGATTCAACGAAAATAAAAAAATAATACGAATCAAATCGACGACCACTTTGTTTTGTTCTTCGGTCTCCCACCAATTCTTTCTTCACTGCTATAACTTTTCCCTATTATTCCATTCAACGTGGATGCTCAGAGTCAGATTCAAACAAGGTGATCAATTTCATGAAATTATTTTGATTCGATTTTGATTCGTTTGTAATGGGTATGCGATCATTTTTGTTGTTTTGTTGTGATTCAATCTGTATGCGTTGAAATTCGATGCGTATGTTTCTGGGTATGTCTCCTTTTCCTAATTCTCTGGATTTTTAGATGCGATTTGTTCTTGTCGAAAATGTAATCTCGTTTGAAGATTCTGAATTAGCTCTGTGAATATTGACATTTTGTTCATATGGGTGTGTGATTTGATTTGATGTAATTTGATTCTGTTTTCGATCTGTGATCTGGTTTGATTCGATTTCAATCGAATTTACGCATGGAAAAACGAACAATGAAAAAACTAATTTTCCTCTTTTTTTTGTTCAACAGTGTCACAATCAATGTCTGAAGATCTTCTGAAACTTACAGGCTCTTGAATTTTTCGATCAAGATCCAACAAATAAATCGACAGATCATGCTACGATTAAAAGAAATCAAGTCATTTCATACAGAAAAACGATGGGCATTCCCTCTCGCAATAACATCGATTGTATCCTTATTCCTATTAGCGACCTGTTTCAACATGGGTCTTCTTCCACCATTGTACAAATTGAATTCATATTTCCCAATATTCAACTCTCGTATTTCCCCAAATCAATCAACAACTCCACATTTCGCCGAAGATAAATTCAAATCGCCTCCTGTATCATCTTCTCTTCCTTCCACGCCTCGATTTGCTTATTTAATTTCTGGATCAAAAGGGGATTTGAATAAACTATGGAGAACACTTAGAGCTTTATATCATCCATGGAATCATTACGTTCTTCATCTTGATCTCGAATCGGAACCCAACGAGAGAATCGAGCTCGCGTCACGAGTTGAAAAAGATCCCATGTTTGCTGAAATTGGGAATGTTTATGTGATCAAAAAAGCGAATATGGTAACTTATAGAGGTCCAACAATGGTGTCGAATACTCTTCACGCATGTGCGATTCTTCTTAAAAGGAATCAAGATTGGGATTGGTTTATAAACCTCAGTGCATCCGATTATCCTCTAGTCACTCAAGATGGTTAGTTAATAGTAATCAACGAAAAAAAAAAGCTTCCATTTTTATCTGAAAATGAGATTTTGATTCTTGAATTTGTATGCAGATCTTCTTTCTGTGTTTCGTGGTATAAAACGAGACTGGAATTTTGTTGAGCATACTGGTCAGTTGGGGTGGAAGGAGTAAGCTTTTTGGGACTTGAAGACACGAAATTTAAATGTGAAATTATTTAGAAATTGAATTTTATATTTTTATATGCAGGGATCAAAGAGCGATGCCATTGATGATTGATCCTGGATTATATGAGAATAAGAAGTCTGATATTTTTTGGGTGCAACCAAATAGGCCTCTACCAACTGCTTTTAAATTGTTTACAGGTTAGTTTTGTTTCAATCATTAAGCAAATGAATACTATCATTCTTTATGGAAATTTGAATGAATAGTTGAAAACCATTGTATTTCGATTTTTGTGTCCAAAATACTGTAATTTGTTGGCTAATATATTTATGGAAATTCGAAAGTCAAAACTATGGATTCACAATGAATTCGCTAATCTAATAGGTATCACACAAAATTTTCTGATCGTTTGATTTTTCCTTTTAAAGCTCGAAGTGTCGTTATTTTCTCAAAATCTATTTACGCAACATGCTTTTATTTCCCATAAACGTATTTAGCAAAGAATAAAGTAGAGGATTCCGGAATTTTAACCTACAACATACATGAAGTAGGGTATAGCTTAAAAGGGTTGTACTGTACAAACGGTAAAGCTTATAATGCCAATATGCCATGACCTTCATCGGGTTATTCAAGTTAACGGATTTCAATTTTAGACCCTATTAAACCTAACCTTGTTTATCTTATTTGGGTTTAGGTCGTGTTAATTATGTATGTTTGTTGCCCGTTGTCATCTCGTTTATTGTACGATGATAACTAAATTTTATTCGGATAATTAAATCTTTGTGGAAATGGGTAATATTACAATTTTGTATGAAAAATAAAACACCCCTAAGGAATGAAAATTAGTCGTTCGTTCCATTCAACCAGCCAAAACAAACAACTTTTTTCATTTGAATGGAATGACTATTCTATTCGTTCTCGAATAGGATGATTCATTCCACTGGAAAGAAAAAAGATTTTTTTTTTGTCAGATGGAATGGAATCGATTAACCACTTTATCTTTAAAATCAACTGTTATTTTATTTATTTTATTTTTTTGTAGGATCCGCATGGATGGTTTTATCGCGTCCATTTGTAGAATATTGCATATGGGGATGGGACAATCTTCCAAGAACAATGCTCATGTACTACACAAACTTTGTCTCCTCACCCGAAGGCTACTTCCAAACCGTAATATGCAATGTACCCGAATTCATTCCCACAGTCATTAACCATGATATGCACTTCATATCATGGGACAACCCTCCAAAACAACATCCACATGTCCTTAATACGAATGATACGTCTAATATGCTCAATAGTGGGGCCGCATTTGCACGTAAATTTGACCAAGATACCCTTGTTCTTGATACAATTGATAATGAGTTGTTAAATAGAACCAATGGGAGCTTTACTCCGGGTGGATGGTGCAAAGGTGAACCGAATTGTTCTAAAGTTGGGAAAGTCACACGGGTCAAGCCCGGACCCGGGGCTAAACGGCTTAAGAGGCTTATAAACAAGTTGATTAAATCAGCTAAAAATGGAAATCAATGTCGATAGGTTTATATATTTTTGATTTTTTGAGATAGAATATTTTGATGAGTCAATTGACATAGTTTTGATTGTATGTTATAGCATTTTTGGGTGTTGGTCATTTGCGAATATATATATATATATATATATATATATATATATATATATATATACACACACACACACACACACACACACGATCAGCACCCCCAACATCGACTCGTGATCACTTTTTGTTACATTTGTGTCATGGTATCAATATGCTTCGACAACAATTGTGTTTTATTGTGTGTAGTGAATGTTGAGTTTTATAGATCTAGTAGACATTATTAATTTAGTTTATGTAATTGTTTTAAGTGAGCTTTTATATATTTAATTACTTTAGTTGTATAGTTGAATGTGAAATGTAATAATTGTTGGAAATATATTTATAATTTTAAATATTTTTTTTAATGATGCTTGCTTATAAGTTTTTTTAAATCTTTAATAAAATGTTTGTTTTGATGATATTTAATTTGATTTATTTATATACGAATTACTTGGTATTTTAGAAAATCTAAATAGGTTATTATAAAAAGTACTTTGAAAATTATGTTTAAAGTTGTTGGGATTTGACGAATCATTATTTGTTTCAATTTTTGTATAGAGAAAATGACGATAGGGTTTGGAAATGGCCTTAAAGACAATTTATAATATCTACGAATTTTACGATTTATACAATATTAAGCATTATAAATTTACAAATGGAATACTTAACTACTTATAAATTTAAAATTTAAATCCAACGAAATACTAATTCTTATCTACCATAATCATCCTCTAAAATAGCAAAAATTATCACGAATTTTTGTCTATATATACAATTCTACATGTAAAACTAAATCATCTCTAAGAGCTTGATATCTCCCATGGAGTTTGCAGCAACCAAAACCGAAGATTGATTTCGCCAACAAACAGATGACACAAATTGTTCATTGTCATCCACTTCATCACCAGAAATTGGATCTATGGTGTTAAATTTGTATGAAAATGCATGCATAGGGAAAGCTTTGTGGTAGATGAAAACCTATCACATGTTTTAGAAGAATATCAACATTCAATCTAAGAAAATTTTAAAGACAAATAGGGCCAAATCCAAAAAGGGTATTTAGGGTATTAATTAAAACTTTGAACCAACGGGTCTCTGGCCTAGTAGTATTAGGTATGTTTTCAAGTCACGTGGTGGACAAATGGTTGGAAATAAGAGTATGATTAGTTTATTTATTTATTCTATTTTTTTAAGAAAAACTAAATCTTGGAAAGTACCTCGTTTGTTTCTGAACCGGTTGCGATGTAACCCTCGGATACAGATAAACCGACAAAGTTCTGGAGAGAAAAAACCAAAATTGACGAAAATACCCTTGATTTAGTATATGTTTGGTGGTAAAAAATTGACTCTTGAACTTTATATTAGTTGAGGGGCCTAAATGAAACTTTTTAATAGTTGAGGGGCCTCAAAAACCAAAATTCACTCCCCACTACTGTAGGAAAGTTCAATCTGACCCTCAACTAAAAAAAGTTTCATATTCTTTACTACATGCTAATAAGAAGTTCAATTCAGATCCCTTTAACTATGAAAAAGTTTTATTTAGACCCCTCAACTATAAAAAAGTTTCATTGGTGAACACAAGAAGTTCCTTTCAGGCCCTATAAAAATGTTTCATTAAGACCCCTCTACTATAAAAAGAGTTTCATTGGTAAGAACAATAAAAAAAAAAAAAAAAAAAAAAAAAAAAAAAACCAACCTTTACATTCACATGACCCGTGAACGATTGAAGCGGAGAGTCAACAACATGGGAAGAACACTCAGACAAATCCCAAAGCTTCAAAGTGTTATCGGTTGATGATGATATAAGAGTTCCCGAGTCTATAAACTTAACATAACTAACAGTTTTATCGTGTCCAATAAACGTGCAAAGTGGTCTACTTGTATTCCTAAGATCATAGTAATACATTCTATGATCCGCTGATCCAAATGCTAGTGAGTTCCCAGAATCCGGGGGGAATTGAACACAACAAACATTTGCTTTTGTATTAATGGTCCCAACACTTACTCCCTACACATGTAAGAAAAAAAAAACTTAGTATAAATGCATCATCTAGATCTTAATCTAGATATTACCCCATATGTTATTCATGATATGATATGACATAACAAATAGGTTTTGGCATGCATGGGAGCATCCGCCATAAGATAGCTTTTTCGTGATATGTAAGCGCCAACTCATTAATCAAAAAGAGCACAAGAAAACTCCAAAACTATAGAGCTATTTCATCAACTTATAAATTTACAAGATTGAAAATCTATGAGTGGAAAAGCTCTCATAATAGGGAGGAAGCTTTTTCAAATAGAAAAAAAGTTTTTTCATTGCCTTTTCAAAACGAAAAAACTTATATTGTGGGATAGAGTCTCGTTGTGCATAAAAGACATGAATACCCTTCTAGTTCTCGTTATTGAAAATAGCCCTAGAAAGTTTGTCCAATCCTGTATAAAAATGTGGTTTGCATTGATAATTTGATAATTGTAGTACGTTTAGTTTGAAAGCGGACATCCACCAAGTGCAAGTATAGAATTGCCTGATTGATATTCCAGAGCTTAATTGAACCGTCATCACTTCCACTTGCTAGCAGGGTGGGATCCGCTGAGGAGAAGTCCACAGACCATGCACGGCTCTCATGCTCTCTCATTTCTGTAAATACTTGATTTCGTGTAACATCCCATACCTAAAATGTTCCAAATTAGCAATTACAACAATATATTTTCATTTAGTTATTTATTGTACTTTGAAAAATCTATCGAATTATTGCAATGTCATTCAAATACAAAGTAATTTTTAAATGTTTCATAATATAATGCTCTAATAAAGAAAAAAAAGTACAATGGTATATTTGCTAAGTTTAAAAAAAAAAAAAAAAAATTGAAAATGTAAGGTACCTGTACTACACCTTCGAAATTACTGGAAGCAATTTGCCCTTTAATATATCGATTCCAACATATACTGCTAAGCTTCGAGTTACTTCCCATTTCAGCAACAGGGTAATTAATGTCACGATTCCCATTCAAGATCGAATCATATTCAAAAACTTTAATCTTCTTATTCACACCAGCTGTTGCAAAAAAGTCTCCATCGCGATCAAAACTCAAAGAACACACAAGGTTCGAAAAACTCAAGAGATCTGCTTGTTTCAAATCGGCTTTGACTTTCAATTTACTGAAAGATAAATACTTGCACAATCCATCCAAGAACGAATTCATCCATCGATTTTGCCTACCCACAATCCGATCTCTTGATGAGAAATCATTAATTGAAACAATCGATTCTTTACAATCGATTTTACTGGGTTTAATTTCTTGTTTAATCGCCCTGCGCCTAGTCAAAAAGTAAGCCGATTCAAGCTTCCTTAAGTTTCTCATCAATCGAGGGGTTTTAGAGATCAAATTTCCTCGATTTTCAGATGTCTGATACTCGTCTTCGTGAGTTATTGTTCTGGTGCGTTTTCTTGATTCTGGGTTTGCGGGATCATCATCGTTTATAGATCGATGATTCAAATTTGATTCTAGTTTTATGTTGATTGATGATTGCAATTTCACAACTTCTTGCAAATCTGAAGTTAAAACGGAAACAGTGCTTCGCATAGAATTTGCAGCTTCTTGCTTGCGTTTTTGCATCATCGAAAGAAATTCTAGCAATAACTCCTGTTCTTCGATTCGTTCTTTAAGTTCTATTGCTGCTACACGTTCATCTAAGTTGTCTTTAAGTCCATTAAGAAACTCACTTTGTAATACTTCACTGATCGCATACATAAGAAAATATCAGCACAATATCATCCAATTTAGGTATAAATGAAAGAAATATCAATTTCCTTTCATTTATTTCTCTATCATAGCATTCTACTTTCATTTCTTTCTATTATAGCATTATAGTTTCAATTCAAACTACAAATAAATGAAAGTAGAATGTTGTAATAAACAAATTAATGAAAGTACATTGCTATTTCTTGCATTTAAATCTTCGGTTTTGGAAACTCACTCTATTTTTGGCCTACTATCTGGCTCGGGATGCAATAACCAAAGGCAAAATAAAGCTTCTTTTGGCCATTTAAGTAGTAATTGAGGTGGAAAGACACGATGTCTCAAACTAGACATTGTTGCATTCTTCTCTTCAACCGAGCTACACGTACAATACAACTATTGACGAAAATACCCTCAACGGGTTAGTTAAAAAACTTCCATAAAAACTTGAATACTAGACTTAAACATAAATACAAACTAACCTCAAAGAGAAGAGCCCCGAGTCGATAAACATCAGAAGCACAAGAACTTGGACCACCACTTGCCTCTTCCGGGCTCGTGTACCAATTACTTTCCATTTGTTTCATCGGGAACGGTCGGAATCGCTGATTCCGTTCCTCTTCTAAATTCTCCAAACCCGATTGCAAATCCGAAACCGTACGCGAGACATTTACGGGATTTTGGGCGGAAAAGGAACACGATCCCTTAACATCGGAATCGGAATCAGAGCAAGCTACGGATTCGATAAACGAGACGCGGTTTAACGAAGATATGATAAAGCAAGAAGGGCGAATATTATGAACAACAATTCCTTTTGAATGTGCCAAATTGACAACTTCTACAATTTGTATGAATATATGTAAGCATTCAAAGGCATCAACGACTCGGTTTCGGTTGTCTATCCATTCTCTTAAGTTAACACCGTTGTGATTCCCCCGGAATCGCTGTTTCCGTTCTTCGGTTATGATTCCGGAGTCATGACCCGTAGTCGTACCCGAAGGAATTGAGTGAGGGTTTCTATTTGAAGCTTCTGAAGAATCAAAATTAGACATCTGATTACCGAATTCAGATGAATGGTTCATTACTCCATTATCATCCACCTTTTAAAGATCACACCAAGATCATAACCTTATTTTAGCTCCATAAACAATCTTCTAGAAAGTTCTAAGCTTTAGAACAATTCCCAAAATCCCTTTTGTCCTGAAAACATCCATATATCGAAAATCTTTGGATATAATTATTTAACTATATAAAATTAAGATCAGTTTTAAATAGGTGAAACAAAGGAAGAAGAAAGATACCACTAAATCACCATGGAAGACTCTTGAGGTTTCTTTAGCTTCTGGAAACAAAACCACAAATTACAATAGCGTTTTTCAAACTATAAAAGTGGTCTTCCCTTTGTTACCATAAAAAGAAAATAGAAGACAAAATCCCCAACAAGATTCTGAAATACCCAATTGTTTTTTCCTTAAACTGAATAAAAAACAGAAGGTGGTGATATTATATTATTTCTTTATGAAACCCTAGAAAGACTCATCGTCTCTAACCCACTTATTCTACATCAACCTACGTGGCACTTCCATGGCCTCTAACCTTTTCACCAATCGATTTTTTAAAAGATTTCATTAACGTGTGATGACCAGAAATCCTGGTGGTGGGGTTTAATCAGATAATAAAAAATCGTATTAAAGATTTGGATGCTAGTTAAGCCAATTACAAGTGATTAACTTACATAAAACTTGATTAGGAACTAATTAAATACAATACAATCAAGCATGCTGAAAAAGGGAAAGGGATCTTCACTAATCACCATGATCAATGGAAACCGACGAATGGCTTTGATGTTCCAAGTTCCTTCATGAACGATTATTGTCGGCTGAACTGAAGCATGGTGTCAGCAAAAGAGACATAAAGATGATTTGATCATTCTTTGTTGTATTTCGATTGGGTGAACTGCAAGTGGACTTGTGGAAGATCAAGTTAAGTAATTAATGCAAGAGAACTCAAAGAGTTTATCATCGTTTTGATGATGAGTTTGAAGAGGATGCATGAAATCTTTCTCTTTTACGGTTTCTATCTTGGAAAAGAAAATCTTCGATGAGTAAAGATCTTGTTTAGACTACAACTGATGTTACAAAATCATAGGAAAAGTACATTGTGAGGGACCTTCGAGTATGCCCATGAGCCCATCTTTTAGCACATGGGTTTGATTGTTACCAAATTTGGTCCGATGATGTTTGTATGTTGATGAGAAAATCGGTCCGATGATGTTTATAGGTGGATGAGAAAATCAGCTAATCGTTGGAATTGTTTTGGAAATAAACTTCCACCAATAAGTTATAAGTTATTATTGAAATCCAGAAGCGAGTGGTTGCTAGACAGCAGAATCCAAACATAGTTCACCATAATCAGGGCAATAAGGGCGATGAGTGTCGGCGCTAATAACGCATTTTGTTGATACTATTGCCTTTAGTTGGAGACATGTCGTGGCTAATAGGTTTCCTTTAATGTCTTGTAGCTAAGGCCTTATGATACGGATACCACAAAGGGTGGTCTAGGTGGCCACGACCGGGGCTCGTGCACACTAGCCCGAACCTTCGTGCTTTGTCGTGCTAGTGGCCCATCGTGGTCGACACCACGGATTAAAACACCACGGATTAAAAAAATTACCTACAAACTTTCTTATAAATACCACAACACAATTCCTTATATTTTATACAATTCTTCTCTCCTTTTATTCATAATCACAAACTTGTGTTGCTTGATCTTTCAAAAACCATTGCTCCCAAAAAGATGAATTGGTCAAAGAGAAGAGGAAGAAGATAACTTAACACTAGCATGAGTGTCGGTTTCGGAAGACTCACATAGTCGAGCATCTAGTAGTTTTGGGTAAAAGTTGGAAACGTTTCCATGATTTAATGGGTTGTCGAAGTCGTAATCTTGATGCAATATGTTCGAAGTTTCGCGATATAAGGGTAAAATGTCGAGAGTTCGACGGAATTTATAAATTTGTTATAAACAACGTACATGAAGACCATATTGATCTGGTTGTTATGATCATGCATCAATATGAAGACATTAACCCAGACCATTTACACACCACAAAACTTGGCTAAAATTTAAGAATTTCCCAAAATTGAATAATTAAAAAAATAGGTTTAGAAACTAGTTAAAGTTGTTTGTACTTGCATTTTATATTTTTTTTTTATTTTAGTTGCTTGTTTAAAATTATGTAATGTTTTTTAATTGAATAAAAAACTAGTTTAAAAATATGTTTTTATTGTATTTGCATTTTTATATATTTTTTAATTAAATTTAATTAAAAAAAATAAGGTGGAATGGAATGATAGTGTAAAGATATGGTGATGATATGGCACACATCACTATAGTGGTTGATGTTGGGTATAAGAGATGATCTAATGGTCAAATGTTATCATTAAAGTCATCTGTTATACCCACCACTAACCATTGTAGTTGTGTATGTCACATCATCACTAACATTTACTAAACATATGGGATACATATCATTAAACACATCACTCCACCTCATTTTTTTAATTAAATTTAAATAAAAAATACCTAAAAATCATATAATTTTTTAATATTAGTTTTTTTATTAATTTAATATATCAAATTACATTAAATAAAAACTACATTAATTAAAGATTTGGATGCTAGTTAAGCCAATTACAAGTTATTAACTTACATAAAACTTGATTAGGGACTAATTAAATACAATACAATCAAGCATGCTGAAAAAGGGAAAGGGATCTTCACCAATCACCATGATCAATGGAAACTGACGAATGGCTTTGATGCTCCAAGTTCCTTAATGAACGATGATTGTCGGCTGAACTAAAGCATGGTGTCAGAAAAAGAGACATAAAGATGATTTGATGTTGTATTTCGATTGGGTGAACTGCAAGTGGACTTGTGGAAGATCAAGTTAAGTAATTAATGCAAGAGAACTCAAAGAGCTTATCATCGTTTTGATGATGAGTTCGAAGAGGATGCATGAAATCTTTCTCTTTTACGGTTTCTATTCTTGGAAAAGAAAATCTTCGATGAGTAAAGATCTTGTTTAGACTACAACTGATTTTACAAAATCATAGGAAAAGTACATTGTGAGGGACCTTCGAGTATGCCCATCTTTTAGCACATGAGTTTGATTGTTACCAAATTCGGTCCGATGATGTTTGTATGTTGATGAGAAAATCGATCCGATGATGTTTATAGGTGGATGAGAAAATCAGCTAATCGTTGGAATTGTTTTGGAAATAAACTTCCACCAATAAGTTATAAGTTATTATTGATATCCAGAAGCGAGTGGTTGCTAGAGAGCAGAATCCAAACATAGTTCACCATAATCAGGGCAATAAGGGCGATGAATGTGGGCGCGAATAATGCATTGACTTTAGTGGAGACATGTTGTTGTGGCTAAAAGGTTTCCTTTAATGTCTTGTAGCTAAGGCATCCACAATGCATTGAACTACATAGAGTTTAATGGATTGACAAATCATCATTTTACAATCCATACAACTCTATTATATTTTTCTCTACAATGCATTGAACTCTACAAAGTTCAATAAAATGTTACAAAATGCAATTTATAGTAAATATTTAAGAATTAAAACTTTCTTTTTTCCCATTGAAGAGTTCAATGGTCATTGAACTTCAAATTCATTGAATGTCAAGGTGGCATCTCACAATGATTGAGTTTCATCCATTAAATGACACATGGACTTGCCACCTCATTCAACTTTCTCATTGAACTCACCATTGTGGATGCTCTAAGGCCTTCTGATATGTATACCACGAAGGTTGGTCTAGGTGGCAACGACAATGGCTTGTGCACACTAGCCTGGACCTTCGTGCTTCGTCGTTAGCACGTCATGCTCGTGGCCCATCGTGGTCGACACCACGGATTAAAGCGCTCAATCAAAATTCATCCATGTCTAACGGCTAGTTTGGGCATTTACTCAATATCTTTTTCTTAAATTACCTACAAACTTTCATATAAATACCACAACACAATTCCTTATATTTTACACAGTTCTTCACTCATTTTATTCATAATCACAAACTTGTGTTGCTTGATCTTTCAAAAACAATTACTCCTAAAAAGATGAATTGGTCAAAGAGAAAAGGGAGAGAACTTAACACTAACATGGGTGTCAGTTTCGAAAGACTCAGATAGTCGAACATCTAGTAGTTTTGGGTAAAAGTTGGAAATGTTTCCATGATTTAATGGGTTGTTGAAGTCGTAATCTTGATGCAATATGTTCGGAGTTTCGCGATATAAGGGTAAAATATCGAGAGTTCGTTGTTATGATCATGCATCAATATGAAGACATTAACCACAGACCATTTACACACCACAAGGTTTGGCTAAAATTTAAGAATTCCCCAAAATTGAATAATTAAAAAAATATAGGTTTAGATAGTAGTTTAAGTTGTTTGTGCTTGCATTTTTATGTTTTTTTCTATTTTATTTTAGTTGTTTTTTTTTTAAATTATGTAATTTTTTTAATTGAATAAAAAACTAGTTTAAAAAAATATGTTTTTATTGTATTTGGATTTATATATATATATATATATATATATATATATATATATATATATATATATATATATATATATATATATATATATTTTAATTAAATTTAATTAAAAAAATAAGGTGGAATGGTATGATAGTGGTAGGTATTTCATGGTTTAATCGTAAAGATGTGGTGATGATATGACACCCACCACTATAGTGGTTAGTGATGAATATAACAGATGATCTAATAGTCAAATGTTGTCACTAAAGTCATCCGTTATACCCACCGCTAACCACTATAATTGTGGGTGTAACATCATCATCACTAACCTTCACTAAACATATGGGATACCTACCACTAAACACATCACTCCACCTCATTTTTTTAATTAAATTTAAATAAAAAATACATAAAAATCATATAATTATTTTAATATTAGTTTTTTTTATTAATTTAAAATACCAAATTACATTAAATAAAAACTACATTAATTAAAATAAAAATTACATTAATTAAAATAAAAAAAAATTAAAAATAACATTAAAAATTAAAAACCTAAAAATACCAAACTTCTAATTTGTGTTTTAAGCAAGGTTATTCTATTTTAGAGAACTCTTCAACTTTTTCCAAGCTTTAGACATGTCCAAAATGTTTTTGATTAGTGTTTTCATATTGCTCCATGGCTACATTACCCGAATCGATATCGACTTCGTGTGCGTTGTTTATAATAAAGTTGTAAATTCCATCGAACTCAGAACATTTAACGCTCATATCGTGTCACTTGGTACTTTTGGGACAAGAAATGGTTCCTTAAAGCTAAATTGGCAAGATCTATAAAATACATGCATAAAGTTTGAAGCTTTTTACCTTCTGGAGCTTTTAGGGCACCAAAAAACTTCAAATCTACTAGCTTGTTCTTCGTCTCCAACTCCTTAATGCAACACCTTCATCTCCAACTACTCAAAATACACTTTGTAAGCTCACACACTCAAGGAAAAGATTAGGGTTTGGGGAAAACGGATCTAAAAAGTGGAGGCTGAGGTAAGAGAGGGTTATGAGGTCATAAGGTTGTTTATATAGCATCAAACCCTGAATATTAGGGTTTCCAC